GGGGGGGGGGGGGGGGGGGGGGGGGGGGGGGGGGGGGGGGGGGGGGGACACTTTTTTTTTTTTTTGGTCTCGAAATTTGAAAATTTGACATTTTGTTCCGTTGGGGGGGGGGGGGGGGTAAGGTCACCTTTTTCAGGTCAGCCATTGGCATAATTTTTTTATTTATTTATTTATTTTTTATTATTAAAACATACACATAAAAAAAACTCGAGGGGGGGTTTAACCCCAAACCCCCCCCCCGCGTACGCGCCTGGGCCCCAGTCACAACAAATACAAATACAATATTTGTCGCGGCCAGATCAAATTAAATTGAATGGAAGAAAATTAAATGTTCATTTGAATTGAATTGAATCTTGCAACATGCTCGAAATTTATTTCGAGTGGACACAACTGAGGACTACGAAACATTAAAGATGGTTCGACGATGCATGGGGACGAGTCAGAAAAACATGTCGTGGTTATGTCTTGGGTGTGTCGCAAGTCAGTCGTGTGACAGTCGAGGGACCATCGTGAGTTTTCGGGTATTATCGGGGGGCTATTTTCATGTGATCAGGTCGTAGTTCACTCGTGGGATGCACGTGCGAATGTTGCAAAACAGTCGTGGGACGCTCATGCGTCCGTCTCCCGTCTCTGTCTCGTACGATAGACTCACGACAGCCACAAGACATAGAAACCACAACAACAACACAAATCGTAGAACAAAAAAGGTGCATGTTCAATTTTGCCCCACGACTGTAAGTCAATGCCACGATGCTCACAGTTTCGTAGGACTGTCCTGCGACGACCCCCGATGACCCATTATTTGCCTAAATTGTTTCGTCTTGTCGTGGCACAAAATGCGTAGCGGGTTCGTTGTGACTAGGCCTTTATGCTGTAAAATGAAACTTACTTTACCTTTTCTTCTCTTGATGTTCATTCGATTGTATTTGAATTATCATATTTTCATGGTCAAGGTCAAATGCTTATTTTCATATTTCATCGTGTATACATCAGACTGCATCCATGTGCAGAGAAGATGCAAAAAGAAAAATCTATGAAGTGTGTGGTGCGTGCGTCCGTGCGTGTGCCCGCGTCCGTGCGTATGCATGTAGTGCTGTTGTTGTTGGTTAAAGTTTAATGGCGTTCATTCAGTATTGAATATATACGCCACATCTTCAGTTGCATGTAGAACTGTTGTCTGTGCCATGCATGCCCCTGATTGACTGATCGAGATGTTCCTTCTTTTCCTTTTTGGTACCATTAATGGATGTTTCAAGCAAAGGTGTCACTACGCCTAGGTTTCTTGACTGCACTCCACTTTGAAGTCCTGTACTCCTGTTATGTTATCAACGTTTGGGAATTTCACTTTTTGCTTGTAGGAAACATTACTTCATATTATTTCGAGGCCGAGATATTTAGGGGTAAGCTTAGGTATTTACCCCTTATCTATTGTTTTAAGCAGGTTTTAAGTATAGTTTGCTGTTTGCTGGTGAGTTCAAGTTCAGTGTTCGGTGTTGGTGTTGAGAGCGTGGAAAGGCTGCTGAACCGAGCTCCGACACCGGCGGTCAGTTTGTTCCCCTCTCGCCACCCTATCTCTCCCCGCTCTCTACCTCCGTCTCTCCCTCCATCTCTTCCTCTCTAGAGCTCCCTCCCTCCCTGGCTCCCTCCTTTCCTCTCATCGACCTCCTTTAAAAGGACAATAGCGATTAAATTATTGATAAATAGCTTAACAACAAGTAACGTCACACCTTCACGCGAAATCGACGATGAAAGAGAAATATGTGAGAAAAAATTCGATGCAGTGGCTTTTATTGTCCGTGTTTTACAACACCAACATCAGCTTTCACTTAAAGTAAAATGCATGATACATGTCCCTTTTTATTGACAAGTTTCTGGCGATAGATGGCGTGTGTAATAATGCTGTATATACCCCCACTGCCACTGGAAGAAAAAAAAACCCGCAGAGTTCAGTGAAAATTATTTGTGCAATTCTCACATATTTCTCTTTTCCTGTGGCGCCGGGGGCACGACTGGGCACGACATTTTCAGGTTGTCCGTCCCACTTTCTTGTTATCGCGATATCTCAAGAACTGTTTGAGGTATGAACATCAAATTTTATGATAGTATTATCAGCATAGGGAGACGAACTGATTAGATTTCGGAGTAAGTAGGTCAAAAGTCAATTATTGAATTCGGTTCTGAAATACAGGTATTAGCCTCGTTATCGCTATATAGCAAGAATCACTTGAGGTATGAACTTCCAACTTGGTGATAGAATATGGAAGACGATATAATTAGATCAAAGGTCAAATATCTAAAATACAGGCTTTTTTGCCTCGTTATATATCACGATATCTCAAGCAGTGGCGTATTGAGCAAAAACTTTTATTTGGGGAAAAGCCCCCAAAAGTACATTATATCACCATTGCCCTTAACTCTTACTGTACTGGGGGGGGGGGCTGGGCTGGGAGGCAAACGTATCAGGAACCCCCCCCCCCTGAGAACAAATACCCCTAGGACAATTATTGTCCGTGGGTAATTGACCCCCAAGGGGGGGGGGGGTGGTGTCGGACTCCTTTTTATTTCTTGTCGGAGAGTTATGGGTGTAAGTTAACACCTTAGGAAAATTAAATCGTGTTCAAATGTCTAAGCAAAGATGGCGGACCTTGAGGGGCCTGGTTAACACCCCAAAAATGTTGTATCTCTTCGGCTTATCCACAAGAAAGACCAAAACAACGTTAGATGCTGCTTATACGTATCGGCTTGCATGGTGATGTAGATATACAGTAGGCTTACGGTTGCACCATTATGTGTAAGAGAGAGAGAGAGAGGGGGGGGGGGGGGAGGATTGGGGAGTCCTGGCGACGGATCAACCTGTCCGGATCGAAACGTCGAGCCACTCCTACTACCATCCTCTCTAACCGGCGCTATAGTTCTAAGAACTATAAGCTCAAGAAAGATTACCAACATACTTTTTCAAGACTATACCGACAGCCCTTTTCAGGACTCCCCAATCCTCCCCTCTCTTTCACATGGTGCAACCGTGAACCTACTGTACAAAACAACGTTTGCTACAAACAGACTAAAACAAGACAGTGCTCGTGGATGTTTGCAACGGCTCTAGGATAATACCCCTGGACAATCACCCCGGCAAATTACTAGCGGCACAATTCCCCCCACATGGACAATTCATACCCCCTGAAAAATTACACCCGGAGACAACCACCCCCCCCCCCTCTCGAGGACAGTTACCCCCCCCCCCGGACAATTATTGTCCAAGGAGGGGATAATAGGGTGGGGGTAATTGTCCTCGGGGTGGTTGTCCTTGGGGGTAATTTTCCGGGGGGGGGGAATGTCCCCCTGTTCTTTGTCAAAGCTATATCATCATTATGGAGGACGGAGCTAGGGTCAGACTGCAATATGCCTCGCCGCAACCCACTGTCAGCCACCGTTCCTTGCCGCCAACCAATCCGCTGCCAGCCGTCTGACCTCGTTCCTTGTTGCCGGGCCCCGTCGAGAAATCGTCACTCGCCGTCCGGACAACGTCCGATTTGGTCGCTAGACTCCGTTCCCTGCCGCAGCCATTCGTCCCTTGCCGTCGTGTTGTCGCTGAAGGTCGTTCCCACCCGTCAGCGAATCTTGGTTTTCCCCTTTTGCCGTCGCTTTGCCGCCAACATTATGTGATTTTCACGTCCGTCGCCTTTCGTGGGGTCTTTAAAATACAATACAATACAATACAATAAAGTCATTTCTATAGCGCTCTTACAAACTAAATGTTGTTTCACAGCGCTTTACATAAAAGTTATCAAAGAATCTATTGTTGATCATGGTCATGGAAGACATCCAGCGAGGTGATAATCGAACAAAACGTGGACGCTCATTCCAGAGTCGAGGGGCACATGCATGGAAAGCATTGTCGCCGGTCTTTGCCTCTACTATGTGAACCAGTCTTAACTGTACCTTTTTTCAGACAATTTCGGTGTCCGGACAGGTTGACACAACCGGTCAGTTGATTTGAAACAGAAATTTGAAGAAGTTCACAAGCAATATTGTATAAATCTGTTAAGACTTATATTAAAGAGGACAAATATTATTGATGGTTAGTGCTATCACTGCTATTTGATTACTATATTTGTTGTCAAGCTGAAAGCTGAAAGAGAGATTTGCAATTTTTGTTGTACAGGGAAAATGAAAAAAACCTAGCAAGTTTATGTCACTAAGTTCCCAATCTGTTTTTGATTGCTGAAACTTTTGCTCAATTTTCACTGATCAGTTTTCTGCTGCTAATATTGTCAACATTAAAAAGGTGTGGTCTATCTGTGTTATTCTATTATTTTCAGATAACTCTTTTCCACTACATATTGAAATGGGGGGTGCAGAACTATCATACCCCAATGACAACAAACGGCTGCAGGCGATGGTCCAGGAGTGCCAGTGTCCACTCTGCAAATTCATTCTCCGAGACCCTCTGTCTGCCGGTTGTAAACATCCAGCCTGCAAAAGTTGCCTGGCAGTCTTTTCACAAGGTAAGCAGACATATCGACCTGGCTGATGAGAATTTCACAGAATAATTCCAACCTGCAAAGCTATAGGCCCGAATTCACAAAGGAGGTTTATGGACAACTCTAGGTTTATGTGCGTCATAATTATGACGCGTTTCGATGCGTTTCAAACCAAGGTTTGTACCCTTTGTGAATTCGGGCCATAGTGTTTTGATTCCTTTACAATCTACCCGTAGTTTTACCCACACACTAACATTAGAGAGCACATTGGACTATATTCAAGACACAAAAAGGAAATATTGTTCGATACAGTATATCATTTGAAAAAAAATAGTAATATATTTTGTATTACAAGTAGTCTAGTTTCTATTATTAAAGTACAGGTTAATGGAATACTCCATTTATATCAAAAATACAAACTGTATTGCAGAATATACCCCCTTCCAAAACACGAGGTAACGGTTTTCATGGATATTACCTCGTGAAAATAAATGTTTCAAATTTTCCTGTTTAGGGATCTACTTTGCCCGTCATGTGATGCTCCGATCAACCTACACGAGGTATGTTAATGTTTAGATATATTTCTATAGTTTCCACTCTTCCACTCTCTGTATAAAAGGTATGAGGATACCAAGACTACTAAACTCTTAAGATAAATTGAGAACTGGTCATGCGATAACATTGTGAAAGATCGAAACTGTCTAGAAGTTATTCTGAAGGTCGATTATACAGAGAAATACAGGGAAATGACTTAAAAAATATATGGGACAACACATGGTCTAAACGTTTTGTACTTCTCGTCATGTTTCGAATATAAGGCTACTTGGAAAGTTTTCAAAACTATTTTTGGGGGACATTTCTACGATGATATTCTTTCAAACTGTAATGAAAAACTATATACATGTGGATATATTTTTTTAAATATCTTTTCCAGCACTCAATCTTTTCCATATTTGAATTATTTTACATGTGTTGATACATTACCATAGCTATCCAGCACATTAGTGAATATTGTACCTACACACAGTGTTGGTAAATATTAAAGTGTTATGTTTGTAATGTCACTGATGAACTCTAATGAGGGAAGTTACTTTGAGCATTCGCAATGGTCATACAAATTACAGAGTTGAATGGATTAATATGAATAGTTTGAAATTCGTGCTTCATGATTTCGTAAATTTTCAGTTTATAAAATTATTGTATACAGTTCAGATGCCAATGAATTCACAATATTGTTCGTTCATTGATTGATGTTCATTTATTTTCCATATACATGAAAATCATCCAAAACATATATATATATATATATTTTAAATGTGTGGTCACATAAAATCATATATGCAAAGAAGGGGTCGTCATAAGCACATCATGAGCTGACGTTTTCTTAACTTGTTTGCAATAGGAAAGCATGGACATGCCTATGAATGTCCTTGATATCCTCATACTATTCATGGTACAAAGTTCAAAGACATCTTGTCTGGAATATTAAAGTTTTGAGTTGTGTTATTTTAGATGTTAATTACCTTCGACATTTTTACTGCTTGTTTTGTAACACAATAAATAAATATACCTAATGAATGTAGCCTACACTTTAACCTTTCTGTCTGTTTTTTTTTTCTTGTAAAGTTGAAGCCTGACAAATCGGCTGAAAGAAAGCTTCAAATGATCAAGTCATGCAAGTGTAAAAACTGCAGCTGGAAAGGATCCTACACTGATTACATCCAGGTGAGATTACAACATATATCACATTAAAGCAAGGGCGGCGATCCCGGGGCGGGGGGGGGGGGGGGGGGGGGGGTACGTCCCTCCGGTAAATATGAAAAAGTGCAAAAGATTGTATAGCAAAATACTGACTAAAGACTGCTATACACTTTTAGGCTCTGGAGGGCCCAAGAGTGCAAAGTTTATACTATACAGTGCGTCCAAGAAAAAACGAAACCGAGAACTATCGATGTTTTATCATAACTTAATCACAATTATAATTGATAAATGACACATATTTGGAAAGCTTAGATCCCCTTCTTTCATTTGATGCATGAGTGATTAAAAGCAATTTGAAGAGAGGAAACCAAAAAGTCATTTGGCGGGCGGTATCTGAATGTCAAGGAAAAAAAACACATTTCTAGAGAGTTCAATTTCTGCTCTTTCATATGACACCTCAATCAGGAAAAATTAGCCAGGAATAACAAAGTTCTGTTTCTTTAAAGTAATGCTTGCATTTCCATAATTTCATCGAACGATTTCGTTTTCACTGGCTACCTTCCGTAGCAACAAACATGCAGAGGTGACAAAAGACTTAACTCCGTTTCGTTGAAGATCAGCCATGCATCAGGTCTTTCATCTTCTTTGTGCATGGCTGATCGTCAACGAAACGGAGTTAAGTCTTTTGTCAACTCTGTTCGTTGCTACGGCAGGCATCCAGTGAAAACAAACCCGTTTGATCAAATTATGGAAATGCAAGCCTTACTTTAAACAAACAGAACATTGTTATTCTTGGCTCATTTTTCCTGATTGAGGTGTCATTTGAAAGGGCAAAAATTGAACTTTCTAGAAATGTGATTGTCTTTTTAAAATTCAGATTCCGCCCGCCAAATGACTTTTTGGTTTCCTCTCTTCAAATTGCTTTTAATCACTCATGCGTGAAATATGAATCATATGAGTTGCATCAAATGAAAGAGGAGGATCTAAGCTTTCCAAATATGTGTCATTTATTAATTATAATTGTGACTAAGTTATGATAAAACATCGATAATTCTCGGTTTCGTTTTTTCTGGGACGCACTGTATAGTAAAAAAACACACCCCCAAAACAATCTTTTTGCTCGGTCGCTACGCTCCCTTGCATAATATCCTTCAAAATGTACAAGTAAATATCGTAGAAAATCTGTATTCCCTTGGTATCACCGTGATACCAACGGAATACAGATTTTCCCCTCGCATTTCGTCCCCCGGTCACGAAAAGAAATCGCTACCCCTGCATTAAAGCATTCATTTCGGAACAAATAAATGGCATCATCTGACATCACACTTTTTAACAAATAGTTTCATGCTTGCAGGATAGCATCTACTAGCGATATATTTTATGTTGCATATCATTATGTGACTGTTGCTAAGGATAAGGCAACCCTTAGCAACCAGCAATGTCATTTAAGCTCATGCCGAAATTGTTAATCTAGAGTGATATAACTTTTTGTTTGTTATAAAAGCAATGAATTTTCAATTTTGGTATCATAAAGACCCTATATGGGCAGTATTCTGAAAAATTCAAAGTGAGTGGTGAATATTGTGTTTCTATATATATATATATAAGTATATGTATTTTGGTCCAATTAATATATGTTATTCTTTGAAAAAAGTGGTTTAAAAATCGGTTTCGGCTCAAAATCGATATGAAATTATTACAAAGTACATAACGTGTGGCACCATCTTGTAGAAAATGTAATTCCTTATCTTATTGTAATGAAATGCCTTCGTAGCTTTTGTTTAATGTCTGCCTGACATAGCAACCATGCATCTAGTCAGGTGGTAGATAGTTTTATCTCTTATTGTTTTACCTCTTATTGATGTGGTGCAAATGTTTTTTTATGCCTCCGCCACCGAAGGTGGTGCCGGAGGCATCATGTTTTCGGGTTGTCCGTCCGTACGTCCGTCCGTCCGTCCCGTTTGACCGTTATCACAATATCTCAAGAACCATTTAAGATTTAAACTTAAGACTCGGGAATAGTATTTATCACCATAGGAAGACGATCTGATTAGATTTTGGAGTACGTAGGTCAAAGGTCACAGGTCACAGAGGTCAACTTATGAAATTCCTTGTATTGAGTTTGTTAGCGCGATATCTCAAGAACCATTTGAGATTTAAACTTCAAACTTAAGGATAGTATGTATCACCATAGGAAGACGATCTGATTAGATTTTGAAGCACGTATGTCAAAGGTCAAGGGTCACAGAGGTCAACTTATGAAATTCCATACATTGAGATTGTTATCATGATATCTCAAGAACCACTGGAGATTTAAACTTCAAACTTAGTGATAGTGTGTATCACTATAGGAAAACAATCTGATTAGATTTTGGAGCACGTATGTCAAAGGTCAAGGGTCACAGAGGTCAACTTATGAAATTCCATACATTGAGATTGTTATCATGATATCCCAAGAACCACTGGGGTTTAAACTTCAAACTTAGTGATAGTGTGTATCACTATAGGAAAACAATCTGATTAGATTTTGGAGCACGTAGGTCAAAGGTCAAGGGTCACAGAGGTCAACTTATGAAATTCCATACATTGAGATTGTTATGATATCTCAAGAACCATTTGAGATTTAAACTTCAAACTTAAGGATAGTATGTATCACCATAGGAAGACGATCTGATTAGATTTTGGAGCACGTAGGTCAAAGGTCAAGGGTCACAGAGGTCAACTTATGAAATTCCATACATTGAGATTGTTATCATAATATCTCAAGAACCACTGGAGATTTAAACTTCAAACTTAATGATAGTGTGTATCACCATAGGAAGACGATCTGATTAGATTTTGGAGCACGTAGGTCAAAGGTCAAGGGTCACAGAGGTCAATTTATGAAATTCCATACATTGAGATCGTTATCGCGATATCTCAAGAACCACTGGAGAATTTTCACTTCAAACTTAATGATAGTATGTATCACCATATCATAATATCTCAAGAACCACTGGAGATTTAAACTTCAAACTTAATGATAGTGTGTATCACCATAGGAAGACAATCTGATTAGATTTTGGAGCACGTAGGTCAAAGGTCAAGGGTCACAGAAGTCAACTTACGAAATTCCATACATTGAGATTGTTATCATGATATCTCAAGAACCACTGGAGATTTAAACTCCAAACTTGTTTAAATTGCTCTATGGCGGAGGCATCATTTTCGACTGCGCGCAGTCAAAATTCCATCTAGTTTTTTACTGTAATATATCTGGATTACAATACCAGAAGAAAGATAAAAGTGAGCCTCGTGTAGTGGCACGAGGTAGATAAACTAGTGCCTGTATAGATGTGATGTACCTATAGGGTGTGGCAAGAGTGCCAGTTGATAGAGTCTATTAGACCGCCTGTTCTATCATGTTTGATATATTGCCCGAACTTAAATAAAGCAGAATGACTTTGAACTGAATACACGTGAGCCTGTGTCCGTATTTTCTGGATTCACTACAAAATGGCGTAGTCGGCAGGATAAACATTGTTATTATTATTATTTATTTGGCACTTTCAAAATACACCAAACCAGGAAACAATATACAATGTACGTAGGACATAGTGAATGAATACAATTTGACACTTGCGTACCCGACCAGGTAGTCTGGGTAAGGAACAGGTCAACTTAATGTCCATGGCCCACAGGTCGGCCCAGGAGCGGATCCAGGATTTCTTAGGGGGGGGGGGCCCAAATTTGAATTTGATCCGCCACTGGGTCGGGCTTCCTTCCCACACCTGATCGGGTGCACAAACATCTTGACATAAAGTGGATACAACATAGAATAACATCACATATTCATATACATTTCTTCATAAATATAGGCATGAACATGCTGGTGCATTTTATCTCTTGCTGCATGAACTAGCCTAGATTAGTGTTTTAGATTTGGGGCTTGGTGGATGTGACTAGGCTAAACAGCGGCGAGATGAATGCTGATGACCATGGTGCAAGCTGCTTCAGGATTTGTTCTACCTTTCTGCTGGCTCAGACTGGATGAGGGAGGACTTCGAACGTGCCCTAGCCTTGTGGTTGACTTCGGCTTGGATTTACCAATCAGTTCATCGCAGCGCGTTGAGGTCTGGCTGCCTGTATCATCCTGTTACCTGTGAAGTAGCGTCCTTTTGACAGACACTGAAAGTCAAGTTTACAATATACAACTAAATTATTCATACCCTTGTCCAAGTTTTGTAATCTTCGAGTATGTGTAAAATGGATTTATCTGATATTTTGCATGGACTCAAATAAAGCAGAATGATTGTGAACTGAATACACTTGATCCTGTGTCCTTATTCTGGATTCCCTACATTATGACACCTCACATTAATATGGTTGTTGTTGTTGTTGGTTCTTATTGCGTTTTCCATCCTCGTTGGATGATTTTCGCCATCATGTGGCGATTTTCACATATGGTGATATGACGTTCCGTTAAAAAGTAATCTTATTAGTTATACAAATATTTTATTCATAGCCATATTTCCACGGTAGTCCACTGGTCCACATATAGAACTTTAAATTGTTATACTAGTTGTATTCATTGTGCACATTATGCCAGGCGCGGATCCAGGGGGGGGCCGAGCGGGCCTTGGCCCCCCCCCCCCCCCCCCCCCCCCCGCAAAAAAAAAAAAAAAAAAAAAAGAGAGAAAAAAGGAAAAGAAGGGAAAGGGAAAGGGGAGAGAAAGGGAAAGAAAGAAGAGGAAGAAGAAAAGAAAAGGGGGAAGAAGAAGATCGGGGGGCCGAAAGGGCCTTGCCTCCAAAGCTGTTGACCCCCCCCCCCCCCCCCCCCCCCCCCAATCAAAAAAATAAGAGAGAAGGAAGGAAAGGGAAAGAAAAAAGGAAAAGAGGAGATACTGGCGTACTGATACTGATTGCTCATCTGACCGTGATTAAATGCCTAAAACCCCAAAGCTTTCGGGGGCTCTGCCCCCTGTATTCCACCTAGGGCCCTACGGCGGGCCCTTAGATGCTCATCTGACGGTAATTTAATGCCTAAAACCCCTCTTTTGGAGGGCTCCGCCCCCTGGAACTACGCCAAATAGTGACCTTCCAGTGTCACAAAATAATAGGTATTTAAAAAAAATGCTCATCTGACCTTAATTAAACGCCTAAAACCCCTGAGTTTCCGGGGCCGGCTCCGCTGCCTCGACCCCACCAGGGGCCCTAAGGCGGGCCCCTAAATGCTTATCTGACCGCGGTCCCCCCAAATCGGAAGAGGACGTAGGAAGAAAAAGTAGCAGACAAAGAACATCTTTGAAATTCAGACAAGGATTAAGAGTATAGAGAACGGTACAGCGAATCGTCTTCTTTCTCTCATAATCTTATGAAACGTCAAAGCTTCCGCGCTTTGCGCGGGAGGGGGAACCTGAATTCAGACGAGGATTCAGAGGCGAGAACGGTTATACGAATCTTTAATGATTTAATGAAACGTAAAAGCTTCCGCGCTTCGCGCGGGATGGGGGGAAACTAAATTCCGACGAGGATTATTTTCGAGAACGGTACAACGAATCGTCTTCTTTCTCTAATGATTTAATGAAAATTAAAAGCTTCCGCCCTTCGCGCGGGAGGGGAGACCTGAATTCAGACGAGGATTAAAAGTCGAGAACTCTACAGCCAATCGTCTTCTTTCTCTCACAATCTTATGAAACTTAGAAGCTTCCGCGCTTCGCACGGGAGGAGAGGGGGGGACCTGAATTCAGACAAGGATTAAGAGTCGAGAACTCTACAACTAATCGTCTTCTTTCTGTAATAGTTTAATGAAACGTCAAAGCTTCCGCGCTTCGCGCAGGAGGGAGAGGGGGTGACTGAATTTAGACGAGGATTAAGAGTCGAGAACTTTACAACGAATCGTCTTCTTTCTCTAATAATTTAATAAATCGTTAAATTTTCCGCGCTTCGCGCGGAAGGGGAAAAACTAAATTCATACGAGGATTAAGAGTCGAGAACGGTACAACGAATCGTCTTCTTTCTTCAATAGTTTAATGAAACGTCAAAGCTTCCGTGCTTCTCGCAGGAGGGGGAGGGGGGGGGGCTGAATTTAGACAGGGATTAAGAGTCGAGAACTCTACAACAAATCGTCTTCTTTCTCTAATAATTTAATAAATCGTAACATTTTCCGCGCTTCGCGCGGGAGGGGAAAAACTAAATTCAGACGAAGATTAAAAGTCGAGAACGGTACAACGAATCGTCTTCTTTCTTCAATAGTTTAATGAAACGTCAAAGCTTCCGTGCTTCTCGCAGGAGGGGGAGGGGGGGGGCTGAATTTAGACAGGGATTAAGAGTCGAGAACTCTACAACAAATCGTCTTCTTTCTCTAATAATTTAATAAATCGTAACATTTTCCGCGCTTCGCGCGGGAGGGGAAAAACTAAATTCAGACGAAGATTAAAAGTCGAGAACGGTACAACGAATCGTCTTCTTTCTTTAATAGTTTAATGAAACGTCAAAGCTTCCGCGCTTTGCGCAGGAGGGGGAGGGGGGCTGAATTTAGACGAGGATTATTAAAGAGTCAAGAACTCTACAACGAATCGTCTTCTTTCTCTAATAATTTAATAAATCGTAAAAATTTTCGCGCTTCGCGCGGGAGGGCAAAAACTAAATTCAGACGAAGATTAAGAGTCGAGAACGGTACAACGAATCGTCTTTTATTTCGAATAATTTAATAAAACGTCAAAGCTTCCGCGTTTCGCGTTTGCACCGACCCCCCCCCCCCCCCCCCCCCCCCTCCCGCATTACGTCACTGTTGGTCACTATTACGTACCAATATTTGGCTCGCATAATTTGAAATTTGGGCCCCCCCCCCCTAAGAAATCCTGGATCCGCGCCTGCATTATGCACATTATGCACATTGTCAGTGGAGGCACATTTTTATGTTTTTGAAATATGGAACAATGATTATAATCTAAAAATATTTTCTTTTTTAATTTACTTATAGAACCATGAGCGGAATTGTGGAGGAGTTGCACGCATGCAGTGTAAGGTGTTGGGATGTGGAAAATGGCTGCCAGAGAAGAGAGCCCTGGACGTCCATCGGACAGACGAGTGGTGTCCCATGATACTCATCATGAAAGCCAGGCTTAACCATGCAGAGATCGTACATCTGAGTATGAGGGTAAGAGGGCTGACTTCGAATCATTGGTAATCGCGTCGGGTCGGGTGGTCGCATTACCCGAACTTTTGTGAAAACATGCCCCTTTATTCACGAAGTGTCAGGGGAAATGTTTGTGAAATAAAGCCCTCTCATCTACAAATTGTTTGGTCCGATTTACCCGACAATTTGTGAAAACCCTACGGCAAATGAACGAAACGTCGCTTCATCTTCCGCTTTCGTTTCACGAAAGTTAGAGTTCGGGTAAAGGTGAAATGTATCCCATATAATTTGTTAAATGTGTCATTCTTTTAAAATTAAGTTAATATGGAAGCATATCATAGGAGATGATATCCCTAGATCTTCCTTAGCAGGATTGCTCTTCGAATGACCTCATATTCTAAATATTTTGATTTAAAATAACAAAATATTTTGGACCAAACTTTCATGCAACATGTATGTGCAGTCCCATAAACACAATAACACATTTATGATTAAATAAATTATCAGAACTCAACTTTATCTTCAAGACTGGGACTTGCCCCCGCCCCCTAACACACACCCTCGTACCCATAATGATTCTTACCTTTCCATATCGAGATCACTCCTAGATCCTAATCAAAGCGCCGTGCAATAGATTTCACATTTTCGCTATTCTACTTCTCTTGTTTTTCTGAATCAGCTCCCATAACGATGAAATACTTACAAGGATTGGATTGTCCTTTAAATATAGTTTTGTATTACAACAATGTCCCTTATTGTTCATTTGTTTTTCTTACTTTCTCTTCTGGTCACAGGAAACTTGGGACTGGACTTGTGGGCATGTCCTGAGAAGTGATATACCCCATGTGAGAAAGTTAATCGACAGGTTAGTACGTGTGTACAGTGTACTTGATCCCAAAGTACCAACCGCGTTGGAAAATGATGGGTATTTTACAGTCGAGCAGTCAAGCCTTACTGTTGACTGTCCTGGTAAATCAAAGAAGAGAGAAATGAAAGTTCTAAAAAGAGAGGTCGAAGATCTCTTGAAGAGTCTGGATGATTTCAAAAGGATTAATAAGCCTAATGGAGTCGATGACAACCTACAAAAGAAATACCAAGTGCTAGAGCGACATGTTACTTCTCTTCGTCAGTATGGACAGAAGATGAATCAAAGATTGGAGATGCTGGAGACCTCTAACAACGGAGTATGTGTCTGGAAGATTGCAAACTACAATGAGAAGAAGAAGGATGCCATGAAAACAAACGTGAAATCAATCTGTTCGCCGCCGTTCTACACCAGTCAGTACGGATACAAGCTTTGTGGACGAGTTTTCCTGATGGGAGATGGCGTAGGGAAAGGCACGTACATCTCACTGTTTCTAACGATCATGAAAGGTTCGTTTGATGCAGTGCTGCCCTGGCCATTCAAGGAGAGGATTACATTCCAGCTAGTCAACCAAGACGATTCTATTAACAAGAGTATCGTGGAGGCCTTCAGACCTGATCCCGCAAGCTCTTCGTTCAAGAAACCAACCACAGAGAAGAACATCGGAGCTGGATGCCCCTTGTTTGCCAAGATCCAAATAATCGAGGATCCAAAGTCAGGATTTATCCGAGACAACACAATGTACTTAAAGATCATCTGTCAGACATCTGATGTCCCTGAGATCAAGTAAAGCCAGAAGTGGCTTGAAAACAGAACCCGATAGAATGATATGTCGCTGGTTTGCCATGGTGTGGGAAAACTGAACTCCGTGGTATACAATTGTTCTTTTGATAGGCATTGGTAGGAAATACAACGCCTCAGTTGTCTAGAATGTGGACAGGGGGTAAGGATAGGTTTATCCCGGAGCTGCTGTAACAAAAATCCAATAAATCTGCCCCCTCCTCAAACTGGCGCTTCTGTTATTTTGTATACATTTTTTATTTCATGAAGCGTTTTTGACATTCTTTTTGTAAAAAGTATTTATTATCATTTTTTTATATTTTAATTGTTATAGTATTTTGCATTTGTATGTCGTTGCACTCATCCTTGAACTTGAACTTCATTAATTGGGTCAGTTCATAACGTAATTCCTCATAGTTTACTGTATCTGTAAAACCCCTTTCATTGATTTTGGACATTATTTTGTATATAATGTACATTGAAAGCATAAGCTAGCACTGCATCACTTCATTTCGTCCAGTTTGACCGGCGCCCTCATTGATTGACGTGGTTGCTATGGAAACTAAATCGATTACCCACCCCGCCCCAGTCATTACACGCCATGTTCCCCTTCAATGATCTCCTATTCCTTCCTTTCACGCGACGGTCTTAATTTTTAAACCACTAACAAAGCTACCTCAACAATGTCTATGTCCTAGTCCTAGATCCGCTGTTGGTTTTAGGTATTTTCTTGCAGGAACGGAAACCCGTTTCAACTGTGTTTTTTTGTATACCAAGGCAGGTCCAGTGAAGGAGCGGTTCTAGTTCTAGATTATTTTTTTTTATTAAAGGGGGGTGGGGCTTTATTGGGGAATATCGAGGAACTCTGAAGATGACTCGGTAACATTGCCTCAGATTCTGAAACAAAATCATGGATTTAGCTCATGCTGCAATCACAATATTATAAACCTTTAGGTCAGTCAGGAATGCCATGACTTTTTCAAACCGATATTGATATTACCGTATATTACATATTGCAATTTAGTATTGGCCACCAGCGCCAAAACCAAAATCAACTCTATATATTATTTCAAAAGAAAGCCCTACGTGTATGTACTGGTTCATCATATTTATCTCACATAAGTCCAATATTTTACAAACTGAAAACCCTAACAGTATTCGACATAAATTCGCTACAAAGTTTACTGATCATGTTTAAGTATTTAAATAATATGCTCCCTCTTTCATTTCAAAACTGTTACACTATAAATAATGACATTCACTCTTACCCTACCCGTAATTCCTCAAATTTTCATCTAGTCAACCCGAAATTACGTATTGTCCATAGATCCATAATACATCATGGTCGAGACCTATACAACTCTCTCCCAGAATCTATTTAATCATGTTGCTCCCTCTACTCATTTGAGGCCAAAGTTAAAACGATGTTATTATCTAAATATTCAAGGTAAAATTTCTTTGTCAACTCTTCAGTCTTTATCATAATGTCATCTCTTCTTTCATTCGAATCATCATCATCGTCATCATCATCATCATCATCATCTTCATCATCATCATCATCCTCATCTGCATCACCATCATCGTAATTTGTATTTCCAATTACCTTTCCGTTCTGCTTAATAAAAGTGTTAATCTATTTCATGAGTTTTGTTTGGGGCTGTCGTATTATCAAGCAATCTGCTTACAATGACAGTCCTTCTTCCACAAATAATGTTATAATGTTTGAGTAAATGTAGTATTAATGACGGTTTATCATTTCGTTTTTGAAAATAACAATTGTTATATATATTTTCTTATTTATGATTCATCGTCAGAAAAATACTTATTGTACTTTATATTATCATTGTTTATCGAAAAATTGTGTACATTATATGAATGCAGAAGAAAATAAAATCAAATCAAATCAAATTTACTATAAATTACTTTATCTCTTACCTAAATTAAGTAGTCTATATCTAATCAGTTGCACTATACTATCTATATTCACGTAACATTTTCATGTAGCTTCCATTTACCTATGTCTGTATTATGTAGTGCAACGTTTTTTCAACCTTTTATAGTCACGGCACCCTTTTGAGAAATATTTTTGTTCCCGAATCACTACAGAAAATTCATTTTCCATCACTCTGGTATACAAATGCCATGTTCACACGTAAGAACACAATTTGTTTCATAAAAGATTTTTTTTTTTTTAATTCAATTCTCTCGCGGCACCCCTATAGAGTTGTCCTGAGGAACCGCAGGGTGCCGCTACACCCCGGTTGAAAACGCTCGTCTGTCATATCTATTCAGTTGTATTATCTATATTTATTTATTTTATTTATTTATTTCTAATCTTTTGACAGGGTAGCCCATATTCACCAATAAGTAGTAGTCTTCCATGGGGCCCTGAATAAACATGAACACATTTACATCAAAAAGCATAACGTTTATACAGAACAGTTACAAAATAATACTCGTTTGCAAAATAAGCATATATCATTAACCTAGTTCAACAGTAATGTCAATAGGAAAATATTGATTAAGTCGCAATTGTGTGAAAAAGTCATGTTAATATTACAGAAATGCACGTAGTGTATTTTTCGGCTGAGCCATTCACAAATTACAACTTTGTTTAAACAATGTCTTAAATGAATTGACAGAGGTTTTGAGATAGCATATTCAAGTAGATTATATTTACCTACTTCTGTTTTCTGTAGTGTATTATTCACCTTGTATATACACCTGGCGATATACCATAAAATACGTTATACAGTAAGCGTGAATAATGGCTGAATGGCATCAAAGTATTTGGTTATTGAAGCACATATCCGTAACGAAGAAAGTGCCTATCGAAACAAATACCTTAAGACGTCTTGTATTGTGTAGCAGAAGTCAATCAATAATTAATTATTAGTGGGACTGAAGAAGAAAATGACATCTTCTGAGTACAGACGTCACGAATCACAAGTTATCATCTATTCTACTTACCTTATACTACATTATCATTATATGAACCAACCATGTAAAATACACGTTCGGCCACTAGTAATACATTGACCGTCCCTCGAACAAGTAAACAAATAGGTGCTAGGGCCTTTTCAGTTATTAACCCTAACACCTTTACTCTTTACCCCCTGCAAAACTCTTGTAACTTTCGAGAAATGTATGAAAAAAAATCTTTTCTAAATTCTCTTAATATTCCCTTTTGTTTGTAATGTTCATTTTATTTGTTCGTTTGTAAGTATTTTCTGTTTTGTGCATTTTGTTTCTTATAAAAAGGTGCTTTATAAATGAAATGTTAATATTATCATCATAAGTTATTATCATTATCAGTATTATTTTTGTTAAGGGAAAAACTATTTTCTAAAAAGTATTTTGTAAGCAGTATTGGACACATTTCTAATAAAGTTAACACATTCCAAAATAATAATCGTCATGGCATTGTGATGATTTTGTTCGTACATTGAAAACGTAAAAGAAGAAGAGAGAGAGGACGGACGTAAGGAAGACAGATCAGTTGATTTTGAAAAAGGTAACATAACGATATTAGCCAAATAATTAAGGACAACCACGACGACCACAATGATGATGATGGTGAGTTAAGAGATAATAATAGTGATGAAGGAGATGACGGTGATGATGATGATGATGGTGAGTTAAGAGAAAATATATGTTATCAAATGTTGGCATTTCTTATTGATTAGTAGTTTTCTTAAACAGGTCCCTGATGCTGGCGATGATGATGAGGAGGAGGAGGAGAAGGAGGAGGATGGTGTTTTGATGATGGTGGTGGTAACAATGATGCAAATGATGATGGGGATGGTGATAATAAGGAGGAGGAGGTTTATGATAATGATGATCAAGAATAATTCGATGCCCACGATGATGATGATGATGAAAAGTAGGAATATACCAGATGAAAGTGTTCATGGCGACGACGTCAATTATTGTCAGGACTATTCTGCCAATTATTTTTATTTTCTATTGATGATTGCGGTCATGAAGATAACAAATTAAATGACTCAGGACAGGAAAACACGAAGAAAAAAGATCGCTAAAGATCAAAATGGTTCTGACGAAATATTATAAATGGTTTAAATTTGAATTACGTCGATTTCAGAAAAATAGAAAGATAATCAAATCAGAAAAAAACAAACCAAAACATGACAATAAATCATAAATGTTACATCATTAATTTTCCTCTTTCTCATTTTCTCATTCTGTCTGTACTTTGTCTCTCAGTTTGTCTCACACTTTAGTTTCTCAATTTCTTCTTCCTTCTCATTATTTTTCATTGACTGTCAGTCTATTTCCTACTTTATTTCTCGCTTATTTGAAACACCCTTCTCTTCTTCTTAATCTGTCTCTCTCTCTCTCTCTCTCTCTCTCTCTCTCTCTCTCTCTCTCTCTCTCTGTCTATCTATCTCTCTACCATACCTTAAGCACACTTTCCACTTAACTTGCCTCGGGCAAAAACATGGAGTAGTATGATAGTATCGATCCGAACGTAAAAAGGACACGATCAACTATAGCGACGGGTGTTTTCTTCTATATATACAGTCGAAAGGTAATGACCAAGACAAGTGGGCATGTATTTTTTCTTCTAAGAATTTCTACGAAAATTATCGGGCATTGACCGTGACATCAATACTATGTATCTATTTCAACTAGCTTGTTCGGAAGTGGTTTTTACGACTTCATCGATTAGTTTATCGCATCAAATCATTTCACTTGGGTGGGTTTACAAAAGTTCGATTGAGGAAGAAAAAGGATTCTCGACTGTGAAAAATCACATTCTTTCTTCCTTCGATTTCGTTATTTATCTATTTTTATCTATCTATCTATCTTTCTTTCTTCCTTCCTTTTGTTCTTGGATTTTGTTCTTCTTTCTTTCAACCCTTTTTCTTTCTCCTCGTATCACATAGACTGTCCCAATTTTCATTCTCTGTGAAATGTCATTAAACTAAAATTAATTTTAAATTTGATGTTTTTTGTGTTTTTCGTAACTCAAGTTTGAAAGGTGAACAAGTTGAATTGAGACCTTCGTTCAACATTTTAGATGTAAGCGTTAATGTGTCACATTCTCAAGAAACATAAATTGGGAAAAATTGATTTTTCACAAGAAAATTTGGTAAGGGCATATGATAATTTAATCGTTCACTGTATATCCAGTCAAACCTGTATATTGAGGCCACCCAAGGGAAACCTGAAAAAGTGGCTATTGTAGACAGGAGGCCTTTCTAGACAGTTTCTATTTTCTTTCTCAAGGGAGACGAAATACATGGCCACTATAGACAGGTGACCTTTATAGGGTCACTAACACAGGTTTGTCTATATTTTATCTCGGACGCTGATTAATGGATGACCTATCAAACCACTTTGTATCCAATGTCGTGGAAAAGGTGTCACATAAATTGCAAATAATATTATTTATCGAAAATAATATCGCTAGTGATATTCGTTTGTCTCGCAATGTGGTCAATAAGGAATCTAAAAGATCACGACGTTTCGTGCGCCGCTGCAACACTTCGTCAGGTGATAAAAACTAATGTAAGCAAGCGTGTTTTATACTCTACGGAACGAAACGAAGCGCACGAAACGTCGTGATCTTTTAGATTCCTTATTGACCACATTGCGAGACAAACGAATATCACTAGCGATATTATTTTCGATACTACATCCGCAATGAGTAATATATTTAGCATTAATATTATTTATAGTGACTATAAGAGGTAAAACCTCCTATGCGTCATTGGTATAGATTTTTAAAAGATACGTTTTTGGAAGAAAATCACACAATTCAAGAACAAATTCAAACATAAATAAGTATTATTCACACAATTTCTTCGATAAACATGTACATTTTTAGAGCGCAGTGTTAATTCCATACGTTCGTCCATTACGCCAATACCATTGATTTAAGTGTAAAACACCACCCCCCCCCCTCTCTAAAATCATAAAAAAGTCTCATTTTTCAAAGTGGGTTGCGTAGACACAATATTCTATGACAACTCCATAATACTTATGTGTACTCTTGAAGCAGCTGATGCTATCGTAGGTCAGTCTAATTAAGCTGAAGTTCAGGAGAAGGAAGGGTTTACAAGGTACCCAGCTGCCAATCACCCGACCAGACAGTATGGCCTTTGAAAAGCACGTTGGGTCAAGACAAAGGAACTCCCACTTGGTAGTGATCAACGAACTTAGACCGGCTAATCCTTCCGTTGTTCTTTTGGCAGTCAAAAGCCACGTTCCTGGGCCAATTTCCAACAGGATTCACCCATTATTAGAAGTAAGAAATGGGTCTTCTTTTGAAGCAATACAGGAGTTCTTTTTAAGGGATATGTCAATTAATTGGTGCGGTTTTGTCTCCGTTAATCCCGTTTATGGAGTTGTTCAGAGATTGACGTATGCTCTGAAGGTACTTTTTTTAAAAGACAGGATCGGTTTGGGCTTGGGGCTTTTCGGATGAACGAAATACGAATTCGGTTCTTTCGATCGGGCTTTTAGGATTTTTATTAGGAGAAAATAAAAACATGCCCATTCCAGTGGTGGTTTCGTTTGTAAGATAACGCTGGGTAGACTTTCAAAGCATGAAATTATTTCTCTCCTCACATAATCAACTCATGGATGCTTGTAAAAATCCATGATCAAAATAATCATGGATCAACTTACAACCATCATGAATTACTCAATTATATGTGAATGCAGCACTTCTTCACTCTCAACTGAGTTCCTCGATGTGTGTATGTAGTTTGGAGGAGCAACTACCAAGTCTCAAATTTACCAACGTCTTTTCAACATCATCATCATCTCTTACTTCATCACATCACTATTTAATACAATCCATGTTGTACCATTTTTCTCGTTCTGTCTGTGTTATATACATTCTAAATCAACCGAACTCAGATGTTTTGGGATATACATTGAAATGTAATCATATAATTTTCATTTATTCGTAGCCAATACCCATAATTATGCCTAACGAGTATTACATATGAATAAAACTGTAGCAAGTTGATCAGTACTAGTCTGCTCAAATTAAGAATATACAACAATGTAAACAACAACAACAAAAACAACATCAACACTTATTAAATAGTCCCTTGGGTTGAAAAAAAGCTTTATAAATATCAAACTAACGACCGAATAAATAATAATTTTCTCCTGTTTAATCTATTTCTATTGATACACTTCATACAAATACAAGTTTATAACATCTTTGTGTATTTTTTAAACCGAAAGTAAAAAAGATGACTATTCCATATTTGGGGGCGGTGGCACAATTTAATATAATTTTTCTACAATGTATTCATTGTAAAACAAAAACAAATTTAACAAAATGATTGTAATAATGATTTAAATAGTCATTGCACACGCAGCTTCAAATCATATACACACTCATGTGCGCCAAGAGACTTTGTTATACTGCCAGTACAGTGACCGCCATCGAGTGGACTTCTGTACAGCGATTGGTCAACAGCTAGCAGAAGGCGTAATACATCACACGACAGCTGATAGCTATGGTCAGTCGATAGCCACGCACGCCAGAAATAGCTTGACCGAAAGCGAGCTTACAGACGCAGTGGTCAGCGGGCGATTCCGTGTCGCCGCTCCGTAAGGTATTACATAACCATCCCATCAATAAATCCATTTCGAGAGCTATATTCCACCAGAAAGCAAACACAGAATGCCATGTACACATGCGTTTGTTTCAACACGCAAATACAGACGTCATAAATAAATGCGGAACCCATTTCCTACTATAGTACAGTTATCCTGTAATTCGGAGTAGACTGCGGACGCAGGAATCATCTTAATCTCTTTATTTTCTCCAGATAAAAAAAAAACAACACCATGGGTTTTTTGCTCTTCACGTTCTCATCATGACGTTTTGTAAATTGGATGCCTGATTTCGCGAAGGAGATAGCAGACGTTTTTGACAACATTTGAGCGAAAGTCATCGAAAATTGATATTGGCGTCTTTTTACCACTATTTTCATCTCGGAAAGATGCCGAAATGGCGGATCACATCCGACAGATAAGAACGATGGTGTGTATTCATCACGAATGAAGTATTTCTACAAATTTTGCGAGAGTGGACATATCATTTCATTCGGAGATATTTGATTGTGTGGATAATCCATTGGCTTTTACAGCTGGAGTCGGGATCAGCGGCCTGTATGGGGCTTGAGACGCACGGCTCTGCGGCCGCGGCGGGGAGGATCCAAGACAAGATGAGCCAATTGGACTCCAAGCCCATCGACACAACTGAGGTGTGGATTTTTTGCACTTTCTTGGACCTTGTTTTACGATTTCTCCTTTACAGTTTATTTTCTTTATTCTTATCTGTATACCTTAAACGAGAGTTTGTCCCCACATAGGGCTGCCAAAGATCGCCGCCTTTCAAAATGTACTGTATATAGAGAGTAATTTTCAGCGTCTCCAACGTTTTGTGAGAAATGGAAGCCTACAGTTTCATTTATGTCATTATATATCATTTTCCAACACTTATTTCTTGTGTTTTTTCAGATATACATTAAGGCATAATATTCATATGCTTAATACTACACACAAAAACAAAGTAAAACAAAGTTATAGAATAAGTAACATTAATATTTAGTCATGTTTACTTTATACAAATATTATATGCACCACTATATGCAAAAAATATTGCAAAGTTATTTACTTTACTTGTATCAAAGAGAACTGTTGCTGAGCTAGCGCCATGAGCGTCCCTGGACGGTGTGTGCGCTCTATAAGTTTACACTATTATTATTATTATTTACTTTTAGACAAATTGAAAGTTTTTAATGATAACAAATAATGAACTCACCTTGTTATGAAAATATTTTGAGAGACGTCATTTTAATGTTATTAATATTATTTTGATACCATAAATAAAACTTAAATTGACATATGAGTGGAATTTCTGGCAATGGTCAATAATACCAGCGCCCCGATAAACACGTTTGTCTTATGTCGATGCCCTTCTTTATAAATGAAAGATTCTTAATATTTAAATGTAGGAAAATATAAGTAATGTATCTATTAATGAAAAATAAGATAGGTACAACTAATTCGCAGAATCCTCTAGCTAATTCACTCACAGCATTCAGCAAACAACACATGTCATTTGGCTAAGGCACATAGGAATATTTACACTTTATTATATTAACTGGTTTACAAATTTTTAAGTTTGCTAGATTTTGTCTCACACGTTTTAAAAATCTCTGTATTTGAATTTAGTTGAACGTTTTAAAAATAAGCCACCAGAGCATGCCAGCTAGGGGTGAATCTAGGGGCGTCAATAATGAATTATTATGGGATTTTCCAGATATTTTCAGACTTTTATTCGAGCTAAACTGTACCCCAGTAAGAGTTGAAAACCCGTTTTTGTTTGTTTGCTCATTTGCTTTTGTTGTTGTTGGGTGGGTGTACTAGGCTTCGGGGTTGGCTCATCCGATATGTGTGTTTACCGGATAAACTGACACGGGATCCGTTACCGTCAACAGAATATGTAATATACATGTAATTGCAATAAAATGATACAAACAACAATAAAATATAGCAAACAGACTACCAAAGAAAATGCAAATAATGATTTTACAGAAAAGAAAATAAGTCAAAAAAAGTTAACTCATACATTTTCATACAGGTATGGCGGAAAACCTATTTCAATGGTATATACATGTATGTACATTATGTTTGTACATTATTTATTCACAGTTATTCCATAAAGTCCTGCATGTAGAATTTGCTTTACTCGTCGACATCATTCAAAATCATTGTACTGATAGAAAATAAGATTTCTTGACACAGTCTCGCTAATTTCCACTCTCTAATTTGACAGTATCTCGGATACTTAGCATTAGCAACAATACATACGAGCAGATTACATCTTAACCAATCGGCATTGGGTATTTTCTATCATAAAATTATGTCTTTTATTCTTCTCAAATATCAATTTACATTCATTGGAATAAAAAGAATGGTGTATTTCCAGTTTGATATGCATTGATTGAAACATGCTGTTTATAGAGTCAATGAACGAAACGTTTATTATGTTTATCATACTGAGGAAAAAAAACAGATCATCCTTCATTTAATTCAGCATACAGTAAAAGAACGTATATTATCTTTGGAATGTGTTATGGAAAACAAATATTCATCCAGTCTATAAACATGGCGTAAGTAAACAAACTTTTCAATTTTAGCAATCTGGTGAAAAGGGGCGTTTAGAACTAACTAGCATAATCATGATATGGAATGAAATGACTGTTAAGAAAATGAAGAACGTGAAAAGGGACCAATTAATTAACTATCTTTTTCTTTTAGGGGGGAGGGGGGCATAGGTGGCACTTTTAAGTCTTTGTCTACGTTTGTTATGCTTTTACACGTTACCGAACACGCGTATGTGTTTTACCGACACGGTACAACCCTTTATTTCGATGTAGATATTTTATTGATCGCCTTATACATTGTTGCACCCCTATAGCATACCATACGTACTATGTGTCAATGAACCAATGTGTTTATATTTGTTTTACGGGCCGTTAAGAATTTGTCACGCTTTCGTCCTCTATCGCAATTGCAATACAAACTCTGTACTACTGTGACTGTGTAGTGTGATTGTTCAATTTGTTTGTGATCAAAATGTCATTCAAAATACAAGGGCCATTTGTTGTTGTTTACCTCTTCCAATGTTTAGCTTCAGTAATTCTAATCGCAGTTAGCGCTTGAAAAAAAAAACATAATCTGCATAAAGACGACAATCTATTTTCGAAGTGTTAAGCGTGTTTACTAAATGTTTGGAGTTCGAAATTAAATAAGATTTATATGAGCCCAATATTTACATCGTCTGTATTATAATCATAATGTAATGCACTTAACTTGAATATAATATTCATAAAATGCACTTTCAAAATCATAAATGCAATATACATATATATATATAATATATACTGCATTTTACTTCGAATTCTTCGAAAATGTTTAATAATTTGATTTGAAATTTGTTATTAGAGTGCATTTCGAGGATGATTATTATATTGATTAATATTCAACGTAGAATTTATGATCGTCTGTTTGAAAGGGAGCTATACATTATGATGATTGCAACTTCTTTCGAAATAAATAGACCTAAGGCAATTTCAGTAGCCTTGTGCGTCACCTTTTGAAATGTGCGTTCGTGACAATGAAGTATTACGTAATCCAAATATGATTTTTTTTTCTTTAATGGATTATGCAGTGTATTGAAATTGCTCGTGATTTGATTTTTCGAGAATAGTTGAGATCTTGTTGTATTATCAATGGCAGTAATATAACGGCCCTCTTCGGGGCATATTCAACGATATATACACCTTTATCAATAGAGCACTTATCGCCCCTCCCCCCGCCTCCTCCCTTTAAAAGACGTTAAGGAGTTTATTTGTTCCTTCTACTTTAATTTAATTTTCATTTTCCCCCTTTTTTTCCTTTTTCTTTATTCCGTCGCTTTTATCCTCGTTTATTCACCCCTACTTTATCTTTTTCTTCTTGTTGTTCTCATTCTTCTTCTTCTCCTCCTCCTCTTCCTCCTCCTTCTTCTCACTTTTTTCCTTCTTCTTCTTCTTCTTCTTCTTCTTCTTCTTCTTCTTCTTCTTCTTCTTCTTCTCCACCATCTCCTCCTCCTCCTTCCCTTCCTTCTCGACTGCAGAGCAAGAGTGAGAGCTGCGCTGGGTGTGGAAAGGCAATTATTGATCGTTACTTGTTGAGGATAGGGCGTGGTCTGAGCTGGCACTCATCCTGTCTTCGATGCCTTGAGTGTGATGAGAGTCTCAGCTCGCATCAAAGCTGCTACTTTAAGGACCAAAACGTTTTCTGCAGGAAATGCTACTCGAGGTGAGGAGGAAATGGATGGTGGAGGTGGTGATGATGGTGATGCTGTTGATGGTGGTGATGATGGTGGTGGTGGTGATGCTGTTGATGGTGGAGGTGATGGTGGTGGTGATGGTGGTGATGATGGTGATGATGGTGATGGTGATGGTGGTGGTGATGGTGATGATGGTGGTGATGGTGATGGTGGTGGTGATGATGGTGATGCTGCTGATGGTGGTGTTGATGGTGGTGGTGATGATGCTGATAGTGGTGGTAATGACGGTGATGCTGTGGATGGTGGTGGTGATGGTGGTGATGGTGGTGATGGTGGTAGTGATGGTTGTGGTGATGATAATGATGATGATGATGATGATGATGATGATGATGATGATGATGATGATGATGAAGGTGTTGTGATGTAGCCTACATGTAGTTCGCTTAATGACTTCGATGGAAAGCAATTTGTAACCATCGTTTTTATTATTATTATTATTATTATTATGATAATGATGATGATGATGTTGAGGATGAAGATGATGGTGATGGTTATGATGATGGTAAGGATGATGCTGATGATGATGATGGAGATAACGCTGATGGTGGTGATGATGCTGATAATGATGACCCAACCCACAGCAAATAAGGATTATAGGAAGTTGTAAAGTAAGGAGATATTGAAGAAAAGGAAGAGTAAAACAAAAATGAAGAATAAGGGGAGGATGCGATTGTGATTATGCAGGGTGTGGTTTCTATGGTGATTAAACAAAATTGAAAGACGACTTTTCTCACGATGATGATGTTGATGAAAGACAGCATTGTTATAAGGAAAGAATGAGCAAACGAAATACAGAATACAATGTTTATGAATATAGGATGAACGATGTGTACAATTATTGATAAATTTAGCCTACAATAAATGATAGTTTCTCTAAATATATAAAAACTGATTCTGTAGTCCTAAGAAACCTTCGCTTGGTGTTGTGTTCGCGAAAACATGAAGCAGAAATTATCACAAAGTTTTGTTTCTACTTCCAAATGTACAATATTTTCTTTTTTTAATTTGGAGGTTGAGTGAGTTTCCCCGGGCAAACGTCATAGCATGATTATGTATTATGCTATATGGGCGTTTCTTCAAGTCATAGGGGAAACCGGTCGCCCCTCCCACTCAAAATCAAACAAGTTATAAACTCCCCGAGATCATTGTTGATTTTCGAATAACGATGTCGATGATGACGATGATGATAATGATAATAATGATAATAATGATAATGATTATAATAATAATGATAATGATTATAATAATAATGATAATGATTATAATAATAATGATTTTTTTTTTTAAATGATGATAATAATGCGATGATTATGATGACGACCATGACAATAATAATAATACTGAAAAGAAGAAAAGAATTGTTGAGATATGATTTCAGATTTCTTAGAAGATGTCACGTGAAGTACTATTGCTTATAGAATATTCCAATCTCCATATTATACTTCATATAATTTTTTCATTTTCAGGGAATTCGGCACCAAATGCGCCCGTTGCCTACGGAACATCGACGCTAGCGACTGGGTCAGGCGAGCGAGGGAAAACATCTACCACCTCGCTTGCTTCGCCTGCGACAACTGCAAGAGGCAACTATCGACGGGCGAAGAATTTGCGATGATTGAAAATAGAGTGCTGTGCAAGTCGCATTACCTTGAGTTGGTGGAAGCAACATGTCGCAGCAATGGAGACGGCAGTGGTAAGCAACTTCTTATTCTTTATATATCTTTTTATTTATTTTCCGTTTCAATATGAACAAAAGAAAGACATGTACTTTATTCAACATAATACCGTATAGCTGCAAAAGAAAAGAGATTTTTATTAAAAAAGTTCGCTCAATATGAATATTTATTAGGATTACATGATGGAATATTTAATGTAAATTCTCCATTAAAACACGCACATCCTTCAAGCACACGCACTATCCGAAAAAAAATAAGAGTAAATGTTAAAATGTCACCGTTGTCAAAAATTACGCCTTACATAAATATCTTTGAATAGAAGATCATTAGAAAAGGCCAGTACAATTAAGCCAACACTGCAACATTAGTGTGGGGTGTGTGCAAGAAAGAATAAAACCAGTAATGAACGCACTACTGAATACCCTGTCATCCAGGGGCTCAGCCCATTAAAGGGGGGGAGGGGCTGCATGAGAATTTGATTAATGTGTTTGTAACAAAAATGATTACTGGCCTTGATTGTGAAGTTAATGTAGTTGTTTTGTGTACCCGATGTTTTATCACGGGTTGTTATTAAAAAATAAGACAACTTGTCTCTCCAATCCCGATGTAGAAATGTGTTTAATATTTTGCCAATCTATTTTTGAAAACGCCCTTGTATGTGTCAGTTTTAATGAAGAACAAAACAAATTTCGTTTGACGTCGGAGAAGCCATACGAATCACTACAATGATCTTGTAAACATTAGGATGCAGGATTTATCTCAGTCTTGATGGGAAACACATTTTCTATTTTTACGATAAATACGAAGAAATACAATAATTAACTTGTTAATCCGTTTCCTGAAGGACTACGTGACGTAGTGCAGAGGTGTCAGCCAAGGGATGTTAAGGGGCGTTTGCCCCATAACAAAAAAAAAATGAGGATGTTTTCAATGTGTAGAATTTGAAGGGTATATGCTCTCGAAAGCTATACGTCTACCCCGCCTCTTTTTATAGTTGAATCGATGCCCCTGGAAAATTGTTTTGATTGAAAAGTGTGTTTAGTTATTTATACTTGTTTGATTATGCATTCAAAGAGTCGGTTCCAGGGATTAAATGGGATATACGTACCCCCTGGCAAATTAATTATGTTATATAGTTAACAACTAAAGTATTTACAATAACAAGTTTGTAATTTTTAAAGCATAATAGGCCTTAATTGATTTATCCCGATTTACGTTTCTTGAGAATTCGACATATTAAACTTTATATCTAAAAGTATTCAATAAAGGGCCTAATTCGACCAGTCCAACCTTTATTCTTTAGTTAGAAAAAAACACAAAAAACTCAAATTATAAATAATTGTCCCTTTACATCACAGCATGCAAGGCACAAATATACATGTATTGTTCTTGTTTGACCCTAGCCAATCCGATAATGTGAAAATATCTTCTTATCATTTACTTACTCATTGTCATTTTTTTTTTGTGTGTTGGGGGGGGGGCGGGGAAAAAGGGGTAAACGTTTCCTATACCCCCCATCACAGAATCCTGGATCCGCCATAAAGACGTAGCACACACGATGGCATTGTGGATTTTCTATACCAGTTTTTGTCTTCTATATCGTTCTTTAACACTTTTGTGAATCACTTTATTTGAAACATGATGTCTCATTATTGACTTACGAAAACGACATGTACAAAAATACTAGTTAATCCAAAACAAAGCCATGCACTTATAACCAGGGGAGGCGATTTATTTTCATGACCGGGGGGGGGGGGACGAAATGCGATATTTACTTGTACTTTTTGAAGGATATTATGCGATGGAGTGTAGCGACCGAGCGAGAAGATTTTTTTTTGCATTTGTATTATACTCTTTGGCCCTCCAGTGCCTAAAAGTGTGTTGCAGTTCTTTATTCAGTATTTGCTATATATTTTTTATTTGCACTTTTACAAATTTTCCGGGGAGACGTCCCCCCCCCCCCGCCCCCGGATCACTGCCCCTGCTTATAACACCCAGCCAGAGGACCAACCAACAAACTCGTAACTTTGGTTAATAAACGAAAGTTACATATTGAACATTACAACCAATCGTAAACCGCTTAGAAGAAGAAAAAAAAGGCTAAGCGTTTTAATATATGACAAGATAAATTCGTTTCATTGCTTGTATGCATCATCTTTCAACTTTGTCTTGCTGCCCCCAACATTTTAAAGGAATTTTGTCCATGGTCCAATACTTTGTTATTGAATAATTATTTTTCTCTCAATATGCAGGTCTACGTTTTAGATGCAAACCTCTCTTTCTTCAAAGCAAATTTGTGTAATGGAGCCCCGGCCTTTATCTGTTGGAATGTATACCTGAAGTCCATTTTCTAATATTTTTCGAAATTGTGCCACCTTTTTAAACAGACTGACTTCTTTCCCAACTGTGTACCTTTCTCAGATTGAATACTATTGACAATGATTGTATTTCAAGGCGGTTTGAAAACAATGAATAAAATGTTGCTCTTTTTTTGACGACCAGGTTCAGAGTACGGTGGAGAAGGAAGCGGGAGTGAGCGTCCACAACAGAAGACCAAACGGATCCGGACCACTTTCACCGAGGAACAACTCGAAGTCCTCCAGGCCAACTTCAACGTCGACAGCAACCCGGACGGGCAAGACCTCGAACGCATCGCCCAGATCACAGGGCTGAGTAAGCGGGTCACGCAGGTCTGGTTTCAAAACTCACGGGCGCGCCAGAAGAAACACAGCAATCCGCACGGCATGGAGACGCCGCCGGGCGGGCTGTGCACGCCTGGTGGAATGGTGATGGGAAGCGGTGCTGGTAGTGGTGTTGGCGGTGGAGGGGGGCTGGCGGCTTCTGATGGGTACACTGGTGGCAGCGATGGATGCTTGTCGCTAGCTGGGAGGAAACCGTCCCCGTTGCCGCCTAAATATGGTGAGTAAAAAAAATTCATTGAATTCGAGAATTTACTACGAATATGTCGCAATCAACGGGGGTTGTATAATACAATTGCTTCATTGTATGATCCGTATCATCTGAATTAGCGACTCCATGTGCTGAAGGCTGAAAGAGCGGGGGGGGGGGGCTGAAAAACCCCACACCCCTGCCCTCTCCTTGTCGTACTTGTAATTTGCAAGCCTGATCTTTACAATAATCATATACGTACTCGCACTAGTTCACATGGTTTATGAACGTTCTGCATATACTGGGAAGAAAACTTTTAGTAGTACGTGCAAAAACAATGCAGTATTGTGAGCTACATGTCATAGCGACGATAATTATAATATCATACAGAAATGTTATGTAAAACATTGGTATTTCCCGTAAATTCCCGACCAAGTTCAAGTTCTTGGTCATCCTCTTCGTCTCGGGCTTCGTCTATCCTCCTCCTATTTCTTGTAACTTCAGGATCGCTCCATTTCTTTCATATTTGTTATTACCTATGCCTTTCTTATTTACATTCCATGCCCTTTCTATTTATTTATTTACTTATTTATTTATTTTCATCTTAACTTTCAGTTGACATGTTGGATTCCTGCGGCAAGTGCGGCATGATCTACTGTCTCTGTGAGAAACTCGCCATCTGCTCGTCCACCTCGTGACAGAAGTTTCGAATCACCTGACACAATCACGTGATGAACTTCACCAAAATCACGTGATGAACTTCACCATAATCACGTGACCCCTGTAAGAGAACCAAAAACTATGAACCAAAGACACACACACACACACTTCTTATGTGTAGGAGATGAGAAGGAGAATTTTGTTTTTAGCTTCGAAATCTGGACAGAAATATTTAAAAGACTGAAGAAAATTATCAAACGATAATCATGTATTGACCAAGAATAGGACATTCTGCATATGACCTTGTGTGTGTGCTCGACGATAGGTTTTGTAATGTTGTATGTCAGAGTTAGAGAGAGAAAGAGAGAGAGAGAGGGAGAGAGAGAGAGGGGGGCAGAGAGAGGGAAAGGGGGCAGAGAGAGGGAAAGGGGGCAGAGAGAGGGAAAGGGGGCAGAGAGAGGGGGCAGAGAGAGGGGAGAGAGAAACGTCGAGAGGGAGGGAGAAAAAGAACTCGTGTATGCGTGTGCATTAATTTTGTGTGTGCCTGTGTCTGAGTGAGAGAGAGAGAGAGAGGGAGAGAGAGAGAGAGAGAGAGAGAGAGAGAGAGAGAGAGAGAGAGGGGGGGGGCGGGATCGGGGGGGGGGGCAAGTTTGAAAAATATTGACAGATAAGTGAGGAATTTGTAATAAGCCATATTTGTATAAGTCATGTTTTGATGGAAAGTTTCAGTGCAATATTTTATAGTTTGTAGGGGAAAGCTGTTGATATTTCTACCATGCAAAGTCTTTATCGTTATTTATCTTGTCAACATTTTTTCGAACATGATAGCGTTCTTGTGATGTTTGTTTTACGGTGTATTTTTAACGAAGGCGTTCAAAGTTATTGGTATTGCTTGGTTAGGGGATACTATCAAAATTCCTTGTTCATTTGTTCATGTTGCAATGAGTTTTGTTTCCAAGGACATGACAAATCGTGAAGGTGTTTGAGATAAAGAGATATTTTTATTTGGAAAGAAGTGAATATTTGTAATCGTTGTCTCATGTGTTGCGTAAGTTCATGTTGTTTCAGTAGTTCATTTCATTCCAACCACAGCTTCTTTTAAAGTGATTTGTAATTTCATTTAAAGATGTCATTACATTTTGAAAGAATCGTTTAAAGTTCAGGCCCTAGTGCGTGGGACTTCTCGTCGCATCATAATAATATGAAAACACATCAAACCAAAAGTGCATTCACTGGTCAGGGCCAACAGTGCGTTGACGCCAGAAATGCATTTTGTATCGGGTTTAAAAACGTTGAATATGTTAAACAAACGAATAATCTATATCAAACGATCGTTTTAAAATTGTAATATGACAGCACAAGGATAATTTTCATTTGAATATTGGTCGAAACAAAGTCAATCGATGCGTTCTGCAAAGTGCGGAAGGGGGTCAGATAAGATTTTGGACAGCTGTTGGCAAAGGGCCATTTATTTCTTGTGCGCAAGTGTTCTGCGCATTGTTACGTAACGTCATATACGGCTCCATATTTTTTGGAGTCGATAATGTGTTCCATTATGGATTGTTCAGTGATGTGGAAAATTAATATTCTCGTATTGATCAATGTAAGATTGTTTCACTTTGCCCAAACGATCGGCGACCAGTTGAAAGTACTGTTTTGCCACGGATGTAAAATGGTTTGTTTAGCTGTAATACAGACGTATACTTTAAGGTGAAAATCTTTTAAAGCCCCAGTGCACTACTTATAGCTAATTGCGCCCTCTATATACCAAACAATGCCTAATCGGTGACCATTGGTCCCCATGACCCCCATTTTCTTACTTTAATTGAGAGCTTATTTGATGAGGCAACCACCTGTCAGTGACCATGCAGGGAGGTATAACCCCTCCTGGCTAAAGGAGTGCAGTGGGGCTTTAAGACCAGTTTAATTCCCAAGTGCTAATTATTAATAAATTAATGTCATAAAAAGACTTTTTAGTCTGTGTTTTGTTAATGTTTATTAGAGATAGTATTTTCTTTTAACTTTGCGGTACAAACTCTGCCGCCGATGAATAGCTAATTTGGTGTTAAATGAGAATATTTTACACCCATCCCAGCTGTGCACAACTAAAAACGCATGGTGATCATGATGTAAATTGTTTATCTGCATGTACTAATCATGTTTATACAGATATTTTGACATTTCATTAATCATCAGTATAATTGCTTGTAGTTGAAAATGTCCATCCATGTCAAGTAATGCGCATCATTCTATTACGATTGTCATGTGTGATTGATCGGTGCTCAGTGATTTTTTTTTCGTTATTGAATGTGAAATTATATTTATATCTATAAACCATGTCACAAGATGTATGATTAAATGTTCGAAACGATGGAGAAAATGTGAATTGGCTTCATCCATGCCCTTGCTCGTTTATGATACGTTCGACTCCAGATAGATTTAAATCATGAATTTGGAATGTTACAAAAGCTGAAAAAAATCAGAGAGAGAGAGAGGTAGATAGATAGATAAATATATAGATAGATATGGATAGAGAGAGAGATAAAGAGAGAGGTGGGGTATAGTATAGAAGATATTGTGAGAGGAGACGGGTGAGAGATGGAGGGACAGACAGCAAAAGAAAGAAAGAGCAAAGATAGATTTGATTGATAGGCAGAGAGAGGGGAGGGAGAGGGGGGAGGGGTGAGATAGAAAGAGGAGGTGGAGAGAGTATGGTTAGAAGAGAGAGGAATGATTATTGGATAAAGAGACGAAATACATAGCAAGACAAGACAAGACAAGGAAAGAAAAGAGATGGGTGGAAAGAGAAGGAGACTGAGAGACAGAATGACAAAGCAGAGAGAGAGAGAGAGAGAGAGATAGCGAAAAAAGTTCTTGGTATGTCGTAGAAAATCAGAAAATCAAATTTAAGGTAGAGAAAAGAAAGCAATACAGAAAGAATGAGAGAGAGAGAGGAATAGTTAGAAAGAAAGAGCTAAGGGGTAAACAGCATCAACAGAAGAAAAGAAAAAAGAATGACAGAAGAATATTACAGAAGTGAAAACTGTAAGAACAGGGTGGGAGAATAAAAACAACATTAAGAGCAGAGGTTGAGCATACAAGGAAGCAAGTTTAATCAATCTCAAAGAAGACAAATGTCATGCATATTTCTTTCCGTTACTTTGGACTTGACGATTTACATTTGCACGACACCCATTTTGATCTGCTTTTTATTGTTTTTTGAAATATCAATTTATCTATACATTTGGCTACTTTTGCATCATTTTTGACATAATTATAACTATGGGATGATGTGCAGTTGTTTGAGCTCTATAGATGCCAGAGATATGAATTTTGTGACCATCTTATATCGAATTTTCTCCCAGACAATACTTGACTTCTTCGAAGCTTTTCTCCAGCTTTTCTCTGCGGGTTGATCCACCGGGTATTGAGCCCGTCGCAACCCGCTGCGAAGCCGCTCCTTTGACATCAGCCTCCCCGCGGCGTCGAACAGAAGATCTATGAATGACCCCATGCCGTAAACCCCCTTAAACCCTCTCCCATCGACACAGGAGGTCAATCCCCTCTAGTACTATAAAGACCCCCTTGCCAATATCATCTTGGAAGCCTTCAGTCCACTCATAACAAAGATCCTCAAAAACCTTGTCTCTTTAACACGTCTAAAACACACAAAGGAGGGAGGATCCGTTTTGGAAGTTCCTCCTTCTCACGATCTTTTACAGTTATTGTTCACTTCGAGTGGGACAATAAGTTTGCCTTTCTTATAATCTCTGTCATAGAATTCGTTTAGTTTATGATATTTACTTAGACGGGATAGACCCTCATAAAGAGAAACTTCATGAAGTACAAACAACGATTATCAGAACGCAAAGAAAAGTGTCTGTAAAAACTGGAAAGGTACGATCGGCCGGGGTGATATTTGTAGAATGAAGGGATGGCTGGGTATTCATTATGGGAGACGATGAAAGTTAAAGTACCTCTTCCCTTAAGAGCGTTTGAAGAGGTTTTCATCTTTAGAAAGCCCTTCAGCTTTGGTGATGAACAAGGGTGCATTTCATTCTACCATAATAAGATAATGCTCTTACTCAGTCAAGAGAACCAATGCTAAATATCTTTCTTCGGGACAGTTCACTCATACCATGTATTCTTATAAATATTAAATACAAATTGCCATTATGAGGGTAGTATGTCAGTTTTTCCCATCAATTGGGTAATGCTATGCCAAACTTCGCTAATGTTTTGCCCAACTATGAAATACTTTCACTGCAAATGGAGCAAAAGTAACCTGAATTGAAAATTTGATCGAATCAAAGTTTGTCAGACATTAATAACCTTTCCTCATCTACCCAACATTTGTACACAGTGTGTTTATTCATAAGTTGAAACAGATGTGGTGAACACAACGATGTAAACATCTTTTCCTTGAAAATCTATTTTTAAAGACAATTTCCTTGTTATGAATGCAACAATATGCGAAACGAAAGTTAAAATGTATAGTCTAAATGACATTGTGTATATCTTAAAGAAGTTGTATCGGATGGGCTGTTTTTATTGCTTTCTACAAACATACGAAAACAAATTCACTTCTAAATTTACGCACGCCCACACTTTTGAAAACGTCATGAAAGACCTCAGATACGATTAAATGATATTTATAACATCATGAATCTATACAGTTAAATCTTTTTAATTTGTCTTATCACAAAGAAACATGCACAACAATAATTAGAGGGGCTTTATTTTCGCACGGTCCTATCCAATGTTTGTATTAAGTTTGATTGATAAAAAAATATCACGCATTTCGTGATTGATGACTTGGGCAGTTTAAAACAAAATTATGACATTTTCTTAGTGAATTATGTTATTTGTTGCAAGGTGAAACGTATACTATATCTTATCTTATGAAGAAGAACATGTTTATGCCTATGCAATATGATTTATTCAAAAGCACATTTATTGATACATTTGGTGTAAGTTATGCGTTGCTATTACTTTACCATAAAAATAACAAGATTTTTAAAATGTTCATAACACACAATTATTACATTTATGTATGATATGATTGTTTATAATATAAACACAAAAATCACTAGCAATGCAAAATTTGTCAATTTATTGAGGAATGTAAGAACATTTTTAACTAAGAATGATAGAGAACTCATATCTTCTACAATTGAAATAATTTCAAGTCAAGAATTGTCCTACAAATCTCTAGAAATCTGTTTCTGTATCACTAAAACATTAAGGAACTCGAAAAAGATTGTAATTTGGGTCTAGCACTTATCCTTGCTTGGAAATTGCTTGAGAAAATCACAATTATATAGAAATGCCAAGTCAATTTCGCGTATGAGATTTAAC